TGTTCCTATAGTTTGTGAAAAGTCTGCTAGGAGAAGTCCAAGTATTGACTCTAAGGAACTTACTCAATAATGTAAAAGGAAAAGAAAAAAAGAAATGGTCAGTCAATCGTCAAAGAAACATCTTCATTCATATCTGTGCTTCCGAGCTGTCTATGTCGCTTTTCTATTTTGTTATTTATATGGTTCTTTTCATAGAATTACAGAAAAGTGCTCTTGTAAATTATTTATGATCAAAATATTCCTGTGTTCAATGATTTCTCTTTTATTTTGAAGTACTCTAGAACATCTGTTATGGAAAATTCTTATGTATTTTTGTTGTATTTAATTAGTTCGTATTATTTTACTGTGCATAATGTATTCTTAGTTATTATATTATTTTATTGTGTTTAATGAATTTGTATTGAGCTTATTTCAAATTAATGTATAATATTTAATATTGTTAAACTTTACGGCAAAGCTCCCTTAAGTTTGGCAGAATATGTGTTACAGTTAAAAGGGCGCGGTTGTATTTCCGTTTCTCACGCGTACGCTTCTTTGGAGGTTAGAGGTCACTGTCCAGCTGCATTTTTCCCCTTTTTTCGCGGGGGATGAAAACACGTGTTTTTCTCGTTCAGAGGCGAATAGTTCTAAGGGGCGGCGATTTTTTTTGACAGAGTTATAGGTTGGAAACATTCTTCTGTTGCGTGGGAAAGAAAGAGTCTGTCATCTTGTCGAAAGTTCTGAATTTCTGAGAATTCCCAGTGGCGATTTATTACCTTTCTTCTAGTTGGCGAAAGGGAGTCCAAGTTTCCTTAAGATTGGCTAAATTTTTAATTTTAGTTTTGTTTGAACCAATAGTAATTTTAAGGCGTTTCTTGGTGTGTGTAAACCGAGGTTTCTTAAGCCGTTGCACGGAAGGCAGAGGGATCTTTTCTGGACTTGAAAGAAAAAGCGATTTTTAGAGGAGACTTTTAAGAGGTTTTTTTTGGAGCCTTAGGGGTTTGCTACCTTGACGGCGGCCCCTGCGGGGCCGGCCGCGGTCAGTGAGGAGCTGAGATGGAGCGGAGGAAAAACGCGGCGGTTCTTCGGTGGTCGACCGCGGTATACAGTTAAGTTTTTATCTCCGAGATTTCTGGGTACGGAGGGTCCGAGACAGTGTGGGTGCTCGACATGTTTGACGGCGGCGATTCTTGCGGCCTATTATTTTCAATTTCGTCGCTGAGATTTCTTTTTTTTTTTCCCATTTGTGGAACAGTCTGAACTGCTCGTTCGTGCTGGAGTATCTATTTTGCTATCGAAAAGATAGAAATATGGAAAGTCGTCATCGCCTGAGGTCTGCTTTGGTCTTTTGTCTCCAGTTTCGACCCCCTTCTCTTATCTTCAGTGGAACTTCGAAAACGGGAAGTTGATTGAGTGAAAGTACTGCTTAACGGAGGAATTTGAAAACTTTAAACTGGAACTATGTAAAGGCTCCGGTTCCGGAAAACAACGATGAAGATTTAGCAGTTATTGTTTCGGGATTTGTAATTTGGATCGGGGCAGCTCCCTGAGTCTCTCAAAGGTGGTACGCCGATTTCGTGAGTGACTTTTTAATTTTCATTGGTGTTTTATTTTGATGCATAATCCTTTTAAATTTGGAAATGTTTAATACTAAAGCAAGAGTCGACATGTTAAGTAGATAAAAATTGAATATTTTTACCAAATTTCTAGCTGAGAAAGTAATTTTTTATTTAATGTTTAATAGTCAGAAGTTAATTGAACTAATTGGAGGAAGTGAATCTTTGTTTTGGTGTTTAAGTGCTATGTTCAATATATTTTATTCTAAATTAGTTTTTTTAAATGAATTTAACCTCTTATGAGTTCCTGCTTAAAATGATTAAGAACTGTGACGTGTTTCACTATGATTTTTGTGTTAATGGAATAATGTTTAAATTGAGATTGTTATGAAAAAAAAACTATGAGGAACTTTAAAAGATTTTGTAGGGGTAGTCTGGCCAGCTATCTTAAGTTATAATGTGTGGGAATTTTCAATAAATGTGTTTATTATCTTTAATATTGTATGTTTTTTTTTTGTGTGTATTAATTGTGGTCTACTGTAGGTCACCCATGTGATCCTAACGGAAACATGGTTTTTCAACCGAACCTGGGTAATTATATTGCGGTAGTAGGAAAAAAAATCAATTTTAGTGTTGGTGACTATACGATCTGTTTACAGAATTTAATTTTGATTTTGTTGAGTAAACTTCTTAATTGTGAGTTTGTATCTTTCCCCGGTGTTTGAAGAGATCTGTGTGGTATTTGAAATGTTCAAGGTTTAAGCTTATCTCTAGATTTAAGATTGAAATTTATGTTTTTTCAGGTTGGAGATATAAATTAGTTTTCATTTAGTGAGAGATAGCCTGTTAAAGATTTTGTTGTGGATGTGCATAATTAATCGTGATTCTACCAAAACACCAGGGAGGTTATCTTTCTTTGATGTCTTTTAGATTTAAAAGTTTTGATTACTGAGTACAGAGTTTAAGAGTTAGTTTTTTTTTGTTTTTTTTTTTTTTTTTTTTTTGTCACGGTACCAAAAGGAAGTTAATTTATTTTAAAGTTAAATTTAATTTTTTTTCTACGTAACACATCCGACAAAAGGGAAATTCCAAAATAAACTTCTTTTATACTGAAATGATACTTTTATGCATTAATATTGCAAGATCTAGCTAGCACTTTTAGCTATCACAAAATGTGACTGGACCTACTTAAGTCTTAATCCTCAGGAATTCTAGTACAGGATTGAAGATGACCACAAATAGGTGTAAAAGACCCTTTTATTGAACACATAATTTACAGACGGCACGGACGGATGCTTACAAACACCGACCACCTGCGGTGCACATGAAAGGTACGTAATACTAAATTAAATGTAGGAGTAGTACGTGACTACGCAATTCAATTTAAAGCTAACAACTTCACTTAGAACTTACACCGGCAGAATAGTAATTCGGCTGCAAGAATGTTTACCGGCGAAATTTAAGGTTAACCACCATCCTCAGCTGCAAAATGATTTGCGGTTTTGTAGCTGAGGATGGTGGTTCGATAAAACCATCGAAACTAGTCCTGTGAAATTTTGAAAATATAACGCTGATTTTTGTTGTTTGACTTCTGAATTAGTATGCAAGTATGAGTTCTTGCTTTGCAAAGTGCCATGTTAGTTGTGTGTTTAAAACAGGGTAGAACTTTGCAGAACTTTGTACAACCTATAAAGCGGAATTTAAGTGTGTTCTGTATCCATTTTTCACTAATATTTCGAAAAACTACCTCTATTTTCCTACACGAAGCTTCTTCACTCTGCATAACTTGATAAGTTTCCGCCTAAAACATCGTGGACGAAACTGTGGCGGAGAAAAGAAACGAAAGGCAAAAACATCGTCAGAGAAAAGAAAGCAAAGAGAAAACATCGCAGTTCTAAAACATCTTCTTCGGAAATAAAGCTATTCAAAATCATCGCAGTTTTAAAACATCATTGTCGAAAATGTCGTGATGAAAAATAAAGCACCTACAAATCATCGCATGACGGTAATATCGCTGGTATATGTTTCAGGTTCTAAATATATATTCGCATAATGATTTGTGAGAGCTAAAACGAATAAGGAATATTTTTATCTGTATATTTTATATTTAAAATAAAAATAATGAATATTTGCTAAAAAAGCAAAAAGGAAACTAATGCATTCAAAAACTTAAAATGAGTAAAAAAATTAATGCTACGCATAATATTTAAAGGAATTTTAAACTTATATATTTAAATACTAAAGGTCATTATTAAATTTGTCTCTTTTATAAAGCTGTAATGGGAGTTTTTCGTAAAAAATATAGTCTAAAAATAGATTATGATAAGGAGGACGAGTAACTGCATGATGTTATCTATAGTAGAATTATTTACCTAATTATCAAACTGAGAAATATTACCCTTCAATTTTTTTTACTGATATTCTTTACAGACTATACATTTTATGAAAAATTCCATACAGTTTATAAAAGATAACCTTTTTTAATAATAATTTTTAATAATAATTACCTTTAATAGTTAACTACATAAGTTTAAAATTCTTTTAACTATCATTCGTAGTTTAAATTTCCTATTCATTTTCAGTTTGTTAATGCTTAAATTTCTTTTTAGCAAACTTTTATTAATTAATTCAAAAATATGAAATATATATTTAAACATATTCCTCATTCCTTTGTTTTTATTTTGCTAAAACAATTTCCGGCCCATCAGCTCTTTTCAGACCATGCATTCGGTCCGCACATAATTTGAGTTTAAAACAAATGATGTAAGTATTGGATTGGATTACTTAAATTATAGTAAGGCATTCAAAAGTTGCCTATCTAAGAGGAAGGATTCCTCCAATAACGGCTTTCTAGCGCAAACTAGCTGTTATCAGCTCGTTCTCCAAGATTTGAATCTTAAACGAATTATCACTATTCAGCAACTTTACCAATCGGTCGCTTGCTAACCCGTACAGTATAAAGAAACTACTCATTGTATCTACGTATTGTCAGGAAACATTCTTACCTGGTATTGATAACACTGAATATTTAGATCCATCAAATCTGAAAGATTATACTCATTTACAAGCGTTTTGAATGAACTAATTCAGTTATCAGATCTATAACTGATAAAGAAATCCTACTTTTACGCTTAACACAAAATCTTTTTGAGCGCCAAACAAGAACAAGAAAATTTTCCCACCAAAATAGTAACTGAGTTTTGTTCAACACAGATCCATGAGGTCCATCCGCATTGCTTTTGTCTACTTCCATCGCAAACTCCACCACATACAGCAAAGCGAGCAAAACTTGAAACAGTTATCTGGAACATATTGTGTGTCTGGTTCTCTTAACAGCGCAGACCCAACAAAGGGAATTCGTGGATCTATAAGTGTCATTAATCTTCTTTCACTTGTTCTCCTTATCAGGATGGTAGAGAACAGTGTCTCTTTCATTTGACTCGTTCCTGTTCTTCATCCCCTTAGATTTATGTATTGGACGGATTGGGGACAATATCCGAAAATCGAGCGTTCCGGGATGGACGGATCACAGCGGACAACGGTCATCGACCGTAACATCACGTGGCCGAATTGTCTTGCTATCGACCAAGAGAGAAAAAAACTGTATTGGACTGATGCGGGGACCAGGACAATTGAGATGAGTGACTACGATGGAAAGAATAGGCAGGTAAGTTCCAAAGTTTCAAAAGGATTTGAGATTTTAATGAAAATTAATTATAATAATTTCACTATTTTTATCCTTCACTAAAGAGAAGAGCCATTAAATCTTCTTAAATCTTTGTTAAAAGATGGAGTAGCTGAACTACGAAATCTAATAATTTAATGTAATATATTCAGTTTGGGTTTGAAAAGTGTGAAATTTTAATTAGTAGTTAATGCGTTTTAAGGTACTTCTTTACAATCTATTAACGCTTTACATGGGAGCGTTATGCATGAGTCATACATTCATAATGCTTTATGCATTTAGAAACTAGTATATCTAACACATGTAGTAAATCTTGTGGCTTGAATGGGGGTTTATAAATGCTGCAGTGTACAGCATACAACTTCCAACAGTACAGCATTTCTAGTGCATACCCAAACTATGCATAATTGATTCTTGTTAAATTCTGTCTCTGAATACATATGTCGTAAACAACCATTAGCCCAAAAGTGGCTATAGGCCTCAAAATGGGATTTTGCGTTGGTTCGCTATAAACGGCGTATCAGTTTTCAAATTATTATCACGAAGTATTATTAGTTATTTTCAAAGAAATTAAATAATGAAGAATCTGCATGTTTCTATGTATGTTCCTCACAATGTGGAAAAATGACGGTATCTAGAGCTTTCAGATTTTGACTAGCGTAATCCTCCATCCGAATAATTGCACCTGGAGTTTCGAGTTTTCAATTTCGAATTTCTTTCATAACATTTTATTTTCTATTTTGTAAAACGTTTAATGAATATTAGATTAACAAACTCAATGGTTTGAAACTGTTGGAACTGTCGCAACACTGTTGGAAATAAAACATTTTTATCTCCAGCGCACGAAACGTTTTAGCATTCTGAAAAATATAAAATATTTATCTTGCAGGATTCCTCACTGTGTAATTCTAAGTTACTGTTGGAAGTGAAGAATCTGAAGAACTTATAAGCGAATAATCGCTTGAGTTCGTGTGACAGGAAACAACAAGATAGAAGGTTCAAATAACCCTTTATTATTCCAATTAAAGTTTAGCAAAACTCCGTCTTGGAGTTGTACATTAAACCCGACACTTGGGCTTGAACTTAAGAGACTAAGAATTAAACTAAAATAATCTTAACTAAAGAGATATAGCCGAAGCTATCAAGATTCTAACAGAGTTGGCCCCTTAACGCTAACTGACTGCTGATTATAATTACAGATCATCAGAATAGAAAATCAATCAGAATTACAGCTAATCAGATTAGAAAATTAAATGATTTTCTATTCTGATTGTTGGAATCATTTTAGTTTATCAGTTTCTGCTTGCTAACAAAATCTACAATCTTCCACTATTAAATGTGTTTGTGTTGCTATTTAAAAATCTGGAGTTACTTTAATTTATAATTCTCAACATCTTCAACGAAGCCTTAAAAACATTAGTATATCGATATTTTATTTCCTTTTTTTATTTTAATAACTTACACGTAAGCATAGATGCTCTCAACATGAAATGTTTGTAGACTCATCCAATATTAGAGGAAGTGATGATTTATTAATTTCAGTTACTTTGGAGCAATTCAGGTGAAATGACTTCATTTATAAATGCTTTTACACATGTTGCCTTGTGTAAACGTGAAGTCTCAGATGATGACTTTAATGGTATTTCTTTCTACCACATTTCGGTTAAATGTTCAGTATGGATGAATAGCTCAGCGTATACGAAAAGCTTCAACTCAATTTGATTTACGCTGTTCATGTTTTCAAATAGAGTTTTATATTTTCTGGGGATAACATTTCTTGAGAGTTCTGTTTGTGTTTTAAAAAACGATTGTGCTGAAATAAATCAGTTTTATATGCCCTCATTTCACATTTATGTAGCTTGCCATAAACTTTTAACTTTTCTGGTTTCATTCTTTCTAGCCAGATCTCAAACATGGGCAATTTAAGTCAAGTATTTTGAAAGGTATTACTGAATGTTTCCACGCTACTCATAATTCCTGTGGTATAATGTAATATGCAAACCTACTTACAAATCACCAAAATATTAAGCAAAGGAATTTAGTCAATGCTGCATGATCACATCATCGACTGATAATTGAATGTATAATGAACTACTATTGCAAGACTGTCAGTTGCCAACTTTTATTTAATCTTAAATACATTATTACATATTATTCTAAATTAATATTAATACTATACCTATATTATATTCTATTCACATTATTAATTTTATGATATACTAGCAGCTTCGCTGCCCGCCTTCGTCTGGCTTTTAAATGTACCGGAAAAATGGATGAAGGGAAACCAAACATTAAATTTAAAAACTGCGTAAAATCTTACTCTATAGAACAACTTCATAAAAAAACGTTATTACGTATAATAAAATTACAATGAAATAAGCAATATCCCTTAATACAAATATTAATTATCCTAATAAATAAATTAACCAACTTCCCTTTGCAAAATCTTAAGAACTCAAATGGTATAAAGGAGGTTAAGAACTTTGTTTCCTAAAAAAGTCACTCAAAACTTTTCAATATCTTAAAATAGTGAAATGAGCAATAAATAACATAAAAGAATACAAAAAACAAACAATTCTGAAAAGCAAAGTATAATTAATGATATTTTATCTTTTATTTTCAAGAGAAAAAATTACAATGATATAAGCTATATCCCTTAATACAAAAATTAATTGCACTAATAAAAATAATTAACCAACTTTCCGTTGAAGAACAAAAATCATGCAAAACTTTTCACTATGTTACAAACAGTGAAATAAGCAAAACATAACATGAAAGAAACGAAAAAAACAACAAAATCAGCGCACATTTTACTCTATCAAAAAAATCAATAAAACTTTATCATATATATACAAAAATGACAATGAAATATGCCAATCTCTTAAAAACAGTGGCATAGAAATACGATGAAAAATTGTCGCCAAACCCATATTTCTAAAAGAATGAAACTATTTAAAATATGCGATTTCATCAAAAATCTATCACCAACAATAAGAAAGGAAAATTGTTGCCAAAATCACATTTTTAAAGATGTGAGAAGTGTACTTGGAAGCTTCATTTAATTTTTTTTTTTTTTTAAATACAAAATATTATTATTTTTCCAAAAATTCTTTTTGTAAAAGCAGTCGCAAGGATGAAAGTTTAAAGTGTCCAAAAATCAAAGAAAATAAACTGTACTTTTTAAAATAAACTTTTTAGAAAAAATACCGTTGAAAAGGTGTTAAGCTCCCTTTGTTAAATAAATTCGTATTTAATCGATTTATTGAAACACGAAATTTATTTTAAGTTTCGTAAAATAGCTAAGTGCCTACGTTTCATGACGATGTGAAAATGGATTGTGTAGAGTAAAATCTCGCTGTTCTATAGCCCATTATGTCTCAAAATGACGCGATTTCATCACAAAACATAAAATTAAAAAAATTCTAATTCGAATTTCGAAAAACTCGCTTCGAGGTGCACTGGCTCTTGTCTAGATGCACCTATGTACCAAATTCGTTGCGTTGGGTTTATTAGCTTACGCACAGCGCTAACGAAACACACACACACACACACACACACACACACAGACTCTTTGTTTTATTATATGTAGAGATTATACATTTTTTAAAGTAACGAAAATTAACACAACAAAATGATGGAGTAGCAAAAAATCGGCAGAATCGCATAGAAGAATTTTTATTGCAAAGGCTTGTTAAAAGTTAGCAAATTAGTGAAACATCGTATGATTTGATAGCAGTGCTTCAGGACGTTATGGCAACCCCCGGCCATATAACTTGTGAGAATGCACCCTTGCTAGCTTTCAAAGGTACGACCTTAGTGGAATAAGCCAGGCGATTTCTCGCAAAGAAGTGAAGAAACAGCACACAGGGAAAGGGCTTAAATTGCCTTTTATTTTATTAAACTCTTTAAAAAAAATGCACGTACTTCGTGCTCACAATAGCACCGAGTGCTTGCGGGTGGGAACTTAACAATAAATTAACAGTAACTTAAATGGCAAAGAGTAGCGCAGGACTACTTAAAACTAACAGACTGATTCAGCAACCTACGCAGGCAATAGGTTTTAGATAAACAGCTAGAAGGCGTATCAGCAAATCAAAAGTTGAGTATCAGAGTATCAGCTTATTATCGATCATCCTGTATTTTAAACCACTCAAATCATATCGCTATATCAAAATTAAATTACTTGTTTGCTTATTGTCATTGTTTGGCCAATTATACTTGCAGTTGTTTTTTCCTGAGCAATCTGTCATGGTGTAGCATTTTCTCTGCAAAGTTTTAATGCATGCATTTTGTATTTCTGCTTTATTATAACCTTTAAGACTTGCGCACGAATTTCCTCTTAACCGGAATCCACCAGAACGGAAACAATGATGAAAATTAAGGTTAAATCGGGAAAAAATTTATCTTTTCTACATATTCTTAAATAAACAGACTTAAACTTTTAATATTAAAAAAAAATTTTCCTTTCTGCTCACTACTATTCTTGCTTGAGGAATTTGAGAATGCCCAGATTCGAAAGAATTCAGAGAACCCTTTTAAGATTCGGATTTTAAATAATTTGAATTTAATCTTATTTCTAATTTTTTACGCAGTGCCTCTTTGTAAACGCACCAAAGTCTTAATTAATTCCATTAAATTTAATGATAATTAAACTGTATTTAATACTATGACTTCTCAATTTACTTTACTAAAATATGGTCTGCTTACGGATAGTACGCAATGCATATAATTGTAATCTTTGATCCAGTAAATATTTGTTCTCACTTATTCGAAATCTAAGCAAAGCCAGTTTGTTTTAAAGTAACACGATTTGTTTCCAACAAATTGTGAATAGGGATGAGAAGGAAGGGTTTGCTTACAATCCTGAGGTTTATCTGCTTATATTCCACAATATTTATCTTTTGGTGAATAAGTAAATTTTTCCATTGCACAGAGATGATTCACAAAGAATTTATTCTCAAGGGATATGCAGTAAACCCTAA